GCTAGAAATATTTGTGATGTATTTAATGAAACTTATAACTTAATGTACTAATTAATGTACTAATGAGTAGAAAAGGGAAGAAGAAGGGAATACTGCAAGAGCTGTAGAAGAAGCTGTAGGCTAGAAATATTTGTGATGTATTTAATGAAACTTATATATACTTATATAACTTCACCAATTTACAATAAATTTGTTTAATCGCTCGATTAAACAAATTTACAATACACAAACACAAACGTATACACAAACATAAACAATGCACAATACACAAACGTATGTGCATTGTTTATGTCACAAACGCATCAATGGATTACGTTTGTGTATTGTGCCATATTTCATTAGAACAATAATAATGATAATCTATCTTATACCTAGTAGATACCATCATGACTTTACCACTTAATTATCGATCTTGATTAAACATTCTTGCTAGAAAAGTCCATTGGGGTGTAAATTATTCTGCTATCATTGCTGTCGCTTAATAATTAGAGGTTACAATATTGTGAAGTAAAGAGCGGAAGCGTGCTTTCCAGAAACATGGAGTCATGTCAGACCAAAAATTTATGTTTATATTGGTCTGAGGATATCATAATTATAAATGCTTTTTACTTCTTTTGTGCCTTTTGCGACAAGAGTTTTATCATTGTAAAAACAGATATCCAGATGGATGAATAGTAAATATGATAAATTGATTTTGCTGGCCATTTTTATCAATAGAATGTAATTTCAGAATGGGCCCATATAAAATTTAACAATACACAATAACTTCATGAAATTAATAAAACTGTTCACTGGACTATAAAGGTCAATTAATTATTGTATTTATCTAAATGAATAATTTTATAACTTATTTTCTAAATTATTGGAGTATTTAAATAAACGAAAAGATTTGTAACTCTTGTAAATTAAACTATGGCCCGATAAATGGAAGTAAACACAAGGTACACTTTCTCTAATTATTGAATAAATTATAGAGTCCAACGTATTAATTTGCATATTATAAAAGAAAGAATATTTAAAAATGCGAAGAAAATTAATATGGTATGTAAATTTTCAAAGATTGAGGTTTTTATATTTTTCCTATTGCATAAGATTTTTAATAGTCCAAGTTCTAAGCACTCACTGTAAATTTCATAATACGCGAACCAGCCGGGTCTTATCTTCGCCGGCACGGCCTGAGAAATTAAAAAAATATATTTTAATAAAATGTGAGTACAAGCATGTATTGGCGACAGACATTCAGGTTTACTCACTTCATTACTGATCCTTCATTACGTGGTGCCGGTGGCGATCAACCCCGGGTGGCTCGCGTATTTTGAAATTTACAGCGAGTGCTTAGCCCCTGAGGTATTAAAAATCTTATTGAAAAGGAAAATATAAAAACATCACCCTTAAAAACTTTTACACAGCGAATACATTTGTTTCCCTCGCAAAATTAATATAATTTAAAATTAAAAATTTTGTACAGCCGACTTCAATATAAATTATTAAGAATAACTCAAAAAGTATTAGTCTGACCTTGATCAAATTCAAATGGGACCACACAAGAAGTATCAGCTTTCAAGTAAAAAAAGAATCATCGAAATCGGTTCACCTAGTAAAAAATTATGAGGTAACACAAAAAAACATACAGTCGAATTGAGTATCGTCTCTTTTTTGGAAGTCAGCAGAAAAAAATATGCAAAATTAATACGTTGAATTCGAAGATATATTCAATAATTCGAGAAAGTGCGTTTACACACTAAAACTCCTTTTTCTTACAATGATTTGTTATTTTTACGCGAATTTTATTCAATCATCATTTTCTCGATCATCAGTCTGTAGAAGTCTACTGCGAACATCGGCATCTCATTGTACTCATGGGTTGATTTGCCTCAATCGTCACACTTTGATGGATTGACGATCGGAGTTCAACACATCTAGCACCTTTGACGCTGCTGCTCTGTCGCCGATCTGGTTATTTTACGCTTGGTATAAGCGAGCTGGTTGTACCACCATCTATCTGAAGTTGCTAGAACATTCTGGCATATTGCTTTGTCGATTCTTACCCATGGGACAAAATGGGGTAATGAAGTTTCTTAAACCGCCACCACATGATAATTATACTAAATGCAAATCAAATCATATTGCAAAAAGTCTCTAGCTTTTCTGCCACTTTCTAGTATTCGAATAATATTTCGAAAATTTCCCTAGTCAAAGGGTAGTTATATGGGATTTTGGCCGATGAAGAAAAAGGGAAGATCTTGTACCCACCATCTTGCTCCGTGTGGTAGTACGGAGTATATTCTATGTATAAGGTCGGGGAAAAAGTTTCTTCGTATTTTGTTTGTATAAAATTGAAGAAAAATCTTTTTGGTGGTACTGTTTGTATCTGGCTGGTTTTAAGAAGTACTTACCCTCCATTTTTCAATTGCTTTTCTGTCCGCGAAAATGAGTGAATCTAACGAAGAAATTCGATACATTCTGAAGTTTTATAACAAAAAAGGGAAAAATGCGATTCAAGCCGTGAAAAAACATTGTGACGTTAATGGACTAATGCAGTGTCAGTAAGAGTAGCACAAAGCATTGAGTTAATATACTACATATATGAGAAGGTATTCCAAATAAAAAATGTGAGCTACTGTATTTTCGCGCATTCGCGGGAGATAGTAGAGTCGCGCGCAATTGATATAAGAGCGCATTACGCCTGCGCGGTCAGCTTTTGTCATCATAGATTATACGTAGGTAGAATGATCAGTATGTAATAATTGTTTATTTAGATTGTGTTATTAATTATATTGAGTACAATTTTTTTATGTTATTTTACATACATAATTATGTGCTAATTTAATATAATATTCCGTAATATTATGTCAGAATTACATTTTAATGATATTTTATTTAATATTTAAAAAAGTAAATAATATGAAAAATATAAAAATATACATTTATTATCAAAGATCATTATTATTACTTTTCTAGCATTCTCTAACGTATTAATACGCAGCTGGTGAATAATAGTGTAAAGTCAATGCGAATTTACGTAAAGGTGTACATAATAATTGTGTAGAATAAATAATGTAAATAAACAGAGCAAGCATTATTTATAAAATATATAATGCGAGCTGTTAAATCAATCTGAGCATTTAAGTTGAGACCGAATTTATGTTTAAAATTTTGTAGAATTGATTTGTAAGAAGCACATTTTTTCTTTAGATAAATACATATTTTGTCTTTGTATTTTATTAAATTTCTCAGTAAGTTTCTTTCTAGCCGCAGATTCTTTGCTATTAAATACAAATACAATATTACAACGTGCTCGTATTATATTATTTTTATAATGAACTAGAATTATTGATTCCGATACTAAGGTAATGCCGTAGAACTATATTAAAAAGCCGAGGCTTCCAATACATCACTCAAATTAGGCTTAGAACACATCACTTGCGTAATTTATTTTTAAGTACAATTTTTCTCGGACCTTCATAAATTGAATTTGAACTGCTTGCTGATTCAGACAAAGGTTCTGATACTTCCATTTACCACATTTGGTTGGCTGAAAAAAGATAAAAATTATTTGGGAAGCCTGTAAAAATTCTCGCGTTATAGTATTAAAAAGCTGCCGTATATTAGTATGAATCGCGCGCCTAGGGTTCCGCCTTCCTTAAGTCCCGTAAATATACCGAACGTTACAAAAAAATCGTTCTTCGTCTAATCACTAATAAAACAAAAATCCCAACAATGTTATATAAATAATATAATTGCGTTATTGCATGATACTGCAGATTTCTTTAAGTTTTATTTACACTCTCCTGTTTTTGTGGTTTATTTGTCGTTTTCTTTGAAATGCACGGAACATATACGTGAGTAATCTGACGGTAACCACGTCTTTCCGCTGCAATTCTTTTGAACAAATTTGATCCATGATTCTTTTGTTTCATGACACAGCCGAGGAAACCTTTAAATCCAAATAATAATAAAAAATATTAATTTTTATGGATATACATTTTCATAATTATACTTAACATTATACGTCGATAGTGTCAAGTCTGCGCATAAAAACGTTTTACTCTTTGATATTCACGTGTATGTTGCAGTTGATAAAATATAATTAAATTAAGCGTGTTTTAAATACAATATGTTGAACACACTGGTGAAAAGTCACTCCTTGACTTTTACTTATATTTCTCGAGTTGTTTGAACAGTATCTCAATTTTTCAATATCCATTGCGAAGGAATATTAATAAAAACATTATAACTCAATAGCACAAAGTTGGTTTAGGCGTTTTCAGTCCAGGAATTTGTCAAAGATGAAGTTCGCTCTGGTCGCACTTATATGGATAAAGTCAATGCCATTTTTGAAAAGTGGAGCAAGGTCGTCATAAGCCGATATTAGTCACTTTTCAAAAGTGGTAGTAGTTATGACATGGCCGGGAAATTGAGGATTGACCACAAAACAGTTTTTACCCATTTAAAAAGTCTGACTATACAAAAAAGGTCGATGTTTCTGTACCATACGAACTCACTGAAAGAAATCTAATGAATGGTATACTCATTTGCGGTTTTCTATTGAAACGTAATAAAACCGAATAATTTTTGATAAGATTGATTACTGGTGAAAAAACACTTACGACAAGAACGTGCGAAAAAGATCATGGTCAAAAGGTAAGCTAACTCCACATACTGTAGCGAAACCCAGATTAACACGCAATAAGCTGATGCTGTGTGTATGGTGGGATTGGAAGGGTATCGTTTATTATGAGCTTTTACTGCCGGGAAAAACCATTGTTTCGGATCTCTACTACTAACAACTAATGAGACTCAAGCAAGAAATTGAGAAAAAATGATCGGAATTGATCAACAAAAAAGAAGAGGCATTTCATCATGATAACGCCAAACCACACACATCTTTGGCCACTCAGCAAAAATTGTGAGAGCTTGGTTGGAAAGTGTTAATGCATCCACCATATAGTCTTGACCTTGCACCCTAAAATTTTCACCTATTTCGGTTTTTTATTGGAATGGAATCCGGATTTGTTAAAGCTCAATCTGACAATCTTCCGAAGGTTGATGCTTTTATTGTGAACGAATTTTACAGAAATAATGCTAATTATTCCAGTGCAGAAATACGTGGAGACAAAATATACAGGTAATAATATATATTAAATAGGTACTTAAGTGTAGCTATCATTTTACATCATAATCAGTGTGATACTTATTTCATTTTATAGGTAGTTAACATGTACTTACTTACTAAATGAATTTTGTATGAAATGTTACGATTATTAAAAGTTTAAAAAACCGAGCGGGCTGCGGCTGGCCGCGAGTAGGAACGAAGTGAATAATGACGTCACGCGAATGGCGCGTTATTTTAAATGAGTTTATAGAAACCACTCCACTAAAATCGCAGGAACTTCGTCATTTTTTGTCGGATCGTGAAAATGTTTTCACTGTAGGTACTAGATTAAACAGTTCTATATTTCTAGTTAAATTCATGCGGAAAGTTCATAGTATTAGTATATACAATATAAAGAAACTTTTTCCCCGACCGTATATACAGAGTAGTTGAGGCTAAATTGTAAAGCGTAGCTAAATTAACGACCAAAAAGAATGAGATAGGTACTTTAGTAAATATAAAAATAGATTTATTATCAAGAAGCTATTTCACATGAAATAACTTCACTTTTCTCGTTTCAACTTAAATATAATATGGAAGCCGTTATTTTTCCACTTTAAAACATATTTTAATATTTGTGTGCAGACGTCATTCTTACTATTTATGGATCCTTCGTTGAATACGTTATATTATGTCTGAGTATGTTTATTTTGCTAAATTTAGAATTTTCTACCTAACGTATGTTTGTTCACTAGATAAAAACTACTTCTACCTTTTGAATTCTTAATTAAATGTCAAACTCTAATTCCAAAATTAGAAAGTAAGGAGTGTAACTGGTGTTATCAACATAGTATAATGAGATGTTAACTTAAAGTGGAAAGGAGTCAACAATATATCATGTAAGCTTGTCATACGCAGGTGGTTGAAAGGTGGAGTCGAAAGCCGGAGGTCGTGGTTCGATGGCCATAAACGGATCGTAAAGTAACCCGAAGAAGAAACGTAAAAATAATTGATGTCATTTTATTAAGTTATGGTGACATCTCATCATCATCATCATCATTACAGCCCATCACAAGTCCACTGCTGAATATAGGCCTCCCCCAAGGAATAGCACAAAGCACGGTCTCGAGTCACCTGCATACATTGACTTCCCGCATATCTTACCGGGTCATCGCTCCATCTAGTGGGGGGATGCTCTACACTTCGCCTACCAGTACGAGGTTGCCACTCGAGAACCTTTCTTCCCCATCGGTTGTCGGTTCTTTGAGCTATATGGCCGGTTCATTGCCACTTCAGCTTACTAATCCGTTGAGTTATGTGGGTTACTCTGGTTCTACTACGGATATCTTCGTATTTAAGTTTATCACGCAGAGAAACCCTGATGAAGATAGCCCTGTCCATAGCTCGCTGAGCGACGTTGAGCTTCCTCATACGGCCAGCAGTAAAAGACCACGTCTCAGATTCATAAGTCATCACTGGCAACACGCTCTGGTTGAACAATCTTCTTTTGAGGTTTCGACGTATGTCTGACGAGAATATGTGTCGTAACGGTTTCAACTCGGCTCGGCTCGGCGAGCCGAGTTGAATCCGTCAATTGACCATTCGGTCGAAGTGCGACTTACCTAGTCGGACGACTTTTACTTATATATATCCAATACAGAAGTCTTATTCACTCACATTTGTTAAAGAACCCTAATGACTTCCAATTTTCACTACATCACAAATCATATAAAACACTTGTAAGGAAGCTTGTATTTCAAATTTTTTTTTTACTTTACATAACAAAAGACAAATACTAAACAATTTGAATAATCCTAAGAAATGTCAGAGGTTGTTACGTGAATATACCTATACTATCTTTGATTAAATCAACTTTTGATTATATCATAATCAAAGATACTTGTACAAGTGACGTCAATGTTGACATAAGTCTTTCGACGCATATTTCTAAACTCATTGAAAAGAGCAATAGAAAGCCCCTTAATGAGATTAATGAATGCTTTGAATCTACTATACTTAAGCAAATCACTTATTTACACAAAAAAACTTCATTCCTTAACAATCATTAGTAAGCTAATGTCATCTTACTTCAACCTCTGTATCAAAAATAAATCGTAAGGTACAGTTTACCGTGTAGCGGCGGTGTAAGAATATCGACTACCCCATATCATTCCGTGGGTGTCGTAAGAGGCGACAGAGGGAAACAAATCAGGAGATGGGCACCAGTGTCTTCCTAATAACGACTAAAAATAAAATACTACGGTTGCCAACCAACTATGACTAGTATCTCCCCTATGAAGCAATCTATGGAGAGGTCTATGTTCAACAGTGAACGTTAATAGACTGTAAGGTAACGGTAACGGTACAGTTTTTAAGAACATATTAACTTTTTTTAACAAAGTAAACAGTCAGTTTGGCTCGGCACGGGCTTGCCTTTTAAGACTTACTATGTTTCTCTTCTTCTTCTATGAGTAATCGACTGAAATTAATAAGTAAAATATTTTTTGTAACACTTAAGTGACAAAGGAACTTACAGACCACTTGATGTTATGTAGCTGTTGCTACCCATGGACACATGCAACCAACTTCATACAAAGAATAAAACAATAGAAAATAAAAACTGGTTATGTAAGTCTTCTAAGACAGCTTGACTACTTTCCCACATGAAGGTAGGTGGTGATGCCACTAAAGATGTTAAAGTGATCTTACTTAACTTAAGATTTAGCTCAAAAAAGCAGATTCACTCTTGCCTTAAAGAAGGCTGTGGAGGCGTTGGCAGCCCTGAGGACTAAGGTAGAATTCCTTAGTCTGTAATAATACTGGCTCTCTTTACTATACAGAAACACTTCAGTAAAGGCAGGCTTTTATTTGGCGGCACAAATATGTAAGATCGTAATAGGTACCTACCCAGTTAGACTTCTAGGCAGAAAAAGAGTCCTGCCACCTAAGCTAAGAGGTGGTACCTACCCAATCTGATAATAATTATGACAATGTATATGCTTTCGTTAATAAAATGGACATTTATTTCTATATTATGGTATGTATCCTTACCAACATGTGCGCCTAGTTACATTCTCTGTTACATAATATAAACAAATCGTATTCCGAACACTTTCACGCGTAATCCGTGTGAATCCAATAATGTAGGCGTCTCCGGTGGCGCCGAGCTCTATACAAATGTCGCCATGCGACCTCTTTTCGTAGGGAGAGGGTACAAATAAATATTGGACTCACCTAATATAAGTACGATGTAGATTTCATGCTAGTCCAAGAGACCTTCTTGAAGCCTAGCTATCGCGATTCTAAGATCGCAAATTAGAACTTAGTTAGAAGTTATAGGTTGACCAGCCGTAGAGGCGGCACTTTCATCTACCACAAAAGGTCCTTAGACTGCGTACCGATCGACGCTCCCCCGTTAACTAACATAGAAGTTTCTATATGTAAACTAGCTGTCTCTGGCCATCGGCCACTTACCTTCGTATCGGCATATCTACCGCCGCTCAAACGCATAGCTTAATCAGACATTATAGAATTACTCAACCTAGGCTCCAGTGTCATAATAGCTGGAGACCTCAATAGTAAGAATTAATTCTGGAACTCGCTTACAAGCAACCCCAATGCATTGTTCGATCTCGCAGAGCAACTAAACTTCGATGTTATCGCGCTTGAGACTCCAACAGGCTACCCATTCGTTACTGGTCACCAACCGGACATCCTTGTCGTAGCGATACGCAAAAATGTCCGTATGTCGCTATCATCGATCGAAACAATTTTAGAACTCAACTCGGACCATAGACCAGTCCTAATGCAGCTGGGCCAGCCCGCAGGTGAGGACCAAAACCATCGTGGACTGGCGTAAGCTCGAGGTCAAACTCGAGTCTACGACCTCCCAGCATTTAGTAAAAATCCCAGACAAGATAAACTCGCCAGAGGAGGCCAATGGGGCGATTAGCGCACTATCGGCCAACCTCACCTCATAGCCACCGGAGTCCGATGGTATCAGCGAAACTCCGACTTACACAGAGACTATCAACTTCTGACGATCCCTGAATATTTCAAGGAAATGTCTCGGCACTACTTCGAGAGGGCCAAGACCCATCCCAACCCGCTAGTTGTAAACGCAGCCACCTACGCTCCGACAACCAAAGTTACGGAAAACCTACGAAGGCCCCGTAACGTTCTAATCGAACCCCTCGTTCCGCTCGATTACGACGACCAAAATGTCGCCAACCAGGACACACAAAGATTACACCAGGTAATTACCTAGTGCCACAAACACTGTTAGGACAACGGATGGGACGCAGCGAGTCCACAGATAGGCGTACCGCACACCCCTCCACACCGAGTACACACCGTACACCCATTGTCCCTAGAACATCGAACGATTTTAGTTAGCCGTCAGAGCTGGGGCCGCGGCCCGTTACCCCCTGTTCGGACGGCCGTTAGATAACTCATTTACGTCAACTTTTTACAGCCCTGATAACGATGATGCTGTAAAGTCCAAAAGGCTAACAGTAAGAACTTCATCAGAAACCAGCAGCCCGTATACATCAGCACCACCAGAGGAATTTCAGGTGCGTTGTCGGGTTTTAAAAAGGAAAGTAGTTCTTTCCGTGACTGTTTGTGCTGCAAACTGCAGTTGAAGCTACGAGAGTTTACAATAAATATAATTACAACGCGAAAAAATGTATAAAATACTGTCTATTTTCTAAATTACATATTTTTGTGTAACGATGTCCATTCCAGATAGTTTTAAGCAAACTTAGTGTTCTTATTTATTTAAGTTCTTATGTAAGTGACTTCTGTGTTAATATATAAATAAAATGATAGAGATTTGCAGTTATGCGCACAACTACTGGATAGATTTCAATTACGTCTTATAAGTTTTATTTCTTAGACACTTGGCCTTTATCTAAAAAAACTTATTGCGATATCTCGATCGATTTTTATACGTGGTTTTTCACATGGTTTCAAGCGGGTGTACGTCGCTTGATCTCGCGTTACTAACCCAGATAATTTATATATTTTCGCTA